CATGATCACGTGTATTCAGATAGGTCTAGGTACATGCACACGCGCAAGTCTATAGCGTAATAATAATATTATACTAAAACTAAATACATATCCTCCGACCTATTACCAGAATTACCAAACTCAACACTCCTACTCGCATTTTCAAACACCTGTACATACTCGCACATGATATGATTTTGAACACGATTTTCTTGCATCCGTATCGAAACGCATCGCAAATTCGTCCCCTCCAACCCTTCTGTCACGCATCAAGACAGCCATCGCATTTCGACTCGTTTTGCGTAACTGCGACTGCAATACAAACTGCAACATTATTTGCGATATTGCAAAAACAGTATATCACATTACCGTGTGAAGAGCACTGAAGATGCATAATGCATTAACTCATAGTAATAATATGTGCACACTGCACACATAGGCTGGTAATTGGTATCATAGATTGCACCAGTTATTTCATATTATTATGATGCCGATTCTGAAACGATAGTGATGGGTAGAAAGAAAACGGACGAACTCCTGAGCTTTTATATATTAAGTGGTTTATATAACAATTAATATTACTTGTATCATCATGATAACAATAACCTCTTTACCGACAAAAATATGGTATAATATTATCGCTAGAGAACACATTTTCCTCGGCTTATCTCTCTCCCCCCATCCAATCATCCACCCACTCTGAAGCTAGTACACTTAAAAATCTACTCTCTCCAAATACAACAATCCAACACTCAACAATAACGATATTTCGCTTATCCTAATTACGGCTATAGGTACACCTACATATTTACCTCTATTATCCTCGATGACATTCGGTATATTATGTATTTTTAATAAATTAAAATAAAATAAAATAAAAAAATTCAAATATAATCAATAAACATTATATTTTAAGATCAATACACATAATACGAATAAAAATAATACGCTGGTAACAGGTTTTAGAAACATTCTCGACCACAAATTTGTACCATTAATTATCCGTGTAAATTATTTTTAATTTCGTTAAAAAAAAATAATAATAACGTCTTAACGAGACAAATCAAGTGTTCTGAATGAAAAAAAAAAATATCGCATAAATAATAAAATTAAACGTAAATCTATATTTACATCAAAAATAGATAATACAAACACAAAACACTTAATAACATGGTATTTATTATATTTTTTTTATTTAATAATAATTATTATTAGCTTAAATTATATTTATATATAAATTATGTTATTTATATTATAATATAATATATATATATATATATATATTATATGGTACAAACGCAACGAATTTATTGAGGTAACAGGATTTTTTTTTCATATTTCTTAAAAATATGTGTTTAATTGTATTCCGAAGCAACGAGAAACATAATCTATGTTTTATTTTTCGTATTCTCGCAACTTATTTATAATATACATTATACATATATATATAATAAAATGTTCATTTAATAACTAATACGATACTAAGGGATAAAAATAAAAATACATAGCTTATATTCTAAACGCGGTTAAAAGTTGAAAAAAAAACCTTAAGGGAGGGTCAAAATATAGTTATACAATAATGATAATAATAATAATAATGATGCCAAATATATAATAGTAATATTAATAATAATATAATAATAATAATAATAATAATGATGGAGAACAAAAGAACCAACAGTGTTAAAACCAATAATAAAAACTTAAATATTTCATTATCTCAAAAAATAAAACGTATTTTCCTTTTAAAATAGATTAAGAAATATACTTCCAAAATATATATTTATATATGTATTATTATTATTAATAACATTATATATTTTATTTAAAAAATATTCAATCACAATGTTTGATCACGAATTCATACGAAAACCCTGGACGCTTTTTTTTTAATAATTATGATTAAATCTTTTTTTAAACTATTAGTTTTCGAGAAAAAAAATTAGTTAAATAATATCATAATATGATATTATATGTCTGGAAACATTGTAGTACTTTGGTCGAAATTTAAACATTTTTTTCTTTCTTTTCTCGAGATATATATATTTTAACAAAACATTAACTGACAGAGACTTGCAGTGTTACCGCACTGCCCCGAGCGCGAATGTAAAGGAAGACAGAGGCCGGGAAGCGTCAACGCAAACGCGGTAACACACATCACGCACATCGAACGTAAGTCCGTGTGAAGAATTGTACAATCAAATAAAATTGAGATGTCTGAATATTGTGTGCGCACGCTTGTGACAAACCGAACGAACAATACAAGCATAAATGATGAATAAAAAAAAAAAAAGGAAAAAGAAAAGATAAGAAAAAGAAAAACAATGAGCAAGTACATAGTAATATTACTTACAAAAAAAAAATTTAACGGTAACTCATAGTTTCATACAATCATTCTTGTGTTTCATAAAATTGTTTTTTTTTTTAACGACAATATTATTTGTTTTAAAATAAATATTTTTAACACCTAACATTATGAACCACAAAGGTATATAATAATAATAATAATATATGCCATAAATTTATGTATACACGCATAAATAAATAAATCTCTAAATCTAAACAACTATGAATCTATATGTTATTTATATGATAACTATAATTATAATATATTATACTTGTAGAGGAAATAAAATATAATAAGGCGAACGCTAACTTGTCCATCACCTACTACAAGGAGAAAAAATAAAATAAAACATTTTTAGGTATTTGTTTTTAAATTTAATTTATTTAGACGGAATGTTTTTCTTTTTTAAAACAAGATCCAAAAAACGAATGCCGAATCAGTGATTTTATGCCCAAATATCCCAACAAAAAAAAATTTAGGTAAAACTAAAACTAATGGGGTTAACAAAGATAACGAATTGGTTTTAGAAAAATATTTTGTACTCTTGTTGTGGAGGCAATGGTAGTTAATCTTTTTTATTCAATTGATATTTAAAAAATACTATATACATAAATAAATATGTATATGAACTTATTTTTTTTTTACACAAATCGTCGTAAAGAAACAAAATATGAGTGTGCGGATATAGTAAATTGGTTCAAATCATAAGATCTTTTCAATTTTGTAGTAAAAATACAATTTACAATAAAACACACGAATACTGTAAACAGCAATATTTACACACATTTATTGTAATCATTCTTTTTTTGCATATGGTTCTCACTTATATATCTCTTTCATGAACAAAATATCTGCAATTAATACAAAGAAGGAGAAAACCGAACATAGCGGATTAATATCTTATTTAAAATTGGAACAGTGTTTAGGAACTGAACGGCTTGTATTATATTGTAGATAATATAATCTTTTTTTAAACATTTTTAAACCTTGAGCACATCTCCTTTTACTGGCCTTTTGAGATTTGGTAACCAAACATTAAATACCTAAGCTAAGCATTAAAATCATTATAATAATATATATACAAACTATATCGCTCATAATAAAAATATATGTATACACGCATTATGCTATAATATATAATATGCACTATATAAACATAACATATATAGTTAATAATAATAATAATAATAATAATAATAATAATAATAATCGGATTTTTTGGGCGCACATATGCACTCTTATTTCATTAGTCATCGGAAGGATTACTTTTCTTACATTTATAATATGATATATATAAAAAAAAACATAAGTTAAATAATTAATAATAAATAATATTAATAATTATGTGGTGTGTATTTGTGTATGTGTGTGTATTGGTGTATGTTGTGTACATCAGTGTACGTGGTGTGTACGAGTAGTTTTGACCAACATCGCGTACGTGTGTAATGACGCTGTCGACGAGATCAGTTGGTAACTCTGTAATGACTCAAAACTTATTTAGTTGTCATGGTAACGTGGCTGTCGCTCAAATAGACGTTGACGGGGTCTGTCTTTTAAAATATTTGGCCAACCCTGAAAAAATAAAAAATTGGGGTTAAGCACTTCACAACCGGCAGCAGTAATAGGTATATACACTGTTAAGTTGGGAAATAAAAATTGACGTGGGACTATCATCGGATGTCATGTTATCCGTCCGTGGCGGCGTCATGTAGAGAAATATCGTCTCGATAGAAAAAAAAAATTACTAACATAAAAAACAATAACAGTGCGATCAACACGTATTATTATTAGATAGGTAGGCAGAGCACTACGACTTCATTTCGTTGAATGACACGATTCGGAGTCTTGTAGTAATCCATGTCTCGATGTGGGAAAACAACACCGGCCTAATTGGCGATGTATTATTGACATTATTATTAGGTAGGCGGCGGTGTTGTATATTATACAACATCGTATATTATTATTTATTATTATTAATAATAATATGACGGTCGCTAGAATATTACGCGAGCGCGGCGTAGTAAAAACACGACCACTGCGTGTAACGATGCGAAATATCAAGACTAGTCCCCCTTGACACCGGACGGCTTCGCGGATTAATGTTATCAATTATTATCATATTATATTATTATAAAATATCAAATAAATAACACTCGCTCGCGTCACTGATGACCAGTATGACGACCGATGAAATATAAAACGGGTTAAACTCGAGCCACCCACCCGACAGACAGCTAGAGCTGTAAATCATCATCATCATCATCGAACTGGTTGATTTTAATATAATAATATTATTATATTCCTGTGATGGTCGAAATAATAATAATAATTTAATATATTGTATACGTGTCCCTTACGTGTGAACGAGTGCGAGGAGTGCCGTGCGGTGTGGTGTCTGTTCTTCGCATTGCAGATGATGTCGATTTGACTTTGTGGGCGTGAGTGTGTGTGTGTGTGTGTGTATGTGTGTGTAAGGGGTGGTGGTGGTGATGGTGTGTTGTGTGTGGACATCTAAATATATATATTTTAAATATAATAATAATAATAATATATTATCATTATTATAATAACAGCAGTATATAGTATATAGTATATACGCTATTATTGTTATAAAATATATAATATTTTGGTGGTGAGTAGTGTGTGTGTGTGTGTGTGTCTTGTGTGATTTTTGTTATTTTCGTTTGGCGTGCAGCATCTCCATGAGCAACGTCTGCGTGGGAGCGCCGCCGCTACAGTGCTTCAAGTACAGACTCTCCTCGCCCCTGGTGGCTATGTGATGGATTTCTGGCAGTACGGACAACAATTTGGTAAATTTGTCCTGTAAAAACGAACGCGAAATCGGGACGTTAAATACCGGCTGGTCATTGTACGCAATCTATATTTTATGATATTATTTGAAATTTCGTTTACCTGTACTTGAGAGTTGGCTGTGATGCAATAGTCCAAGAGAGCCTTCAACACTTGCTCGTGACCTTCGTGAACGTGTTTACTGTTGCCAATCCCTTTAACGTCTGCAACAGAAAACAAAAACAAACACCGAACCGTTAAAAATCGTAGTCATTCTATAGAGGAGGTATCTATATAGGATGCATAATCTGGATGATTTGACTGTCATCGTTATTGCAGCTCGTTTCGTTTAAATTTAACCCTAAAATCCTCTAGACGAACACTGTATATAAAAAAGGTTTGGGGGAGGAATGTTTCTCATAAAACGACGTCTTACCGGGGTTCAACAGCAGCAGGAACTTTAGGCAGATGTAATCGCCAACGTCAAACTTGAGCTCCTGTAACCTATCGATGACCTGGGCAAAACAATCAGCCATCGTGGTGACCCCGAGTAGACCGAGAGCGAGTAGATCGAACTTTTGCCCGTTGTGCAACATGATCTCGTTGGCCAGGTTGTTGTGCATGTGCTGGTGGATGTGATCCAGCACCAGCATGTCCGACCACGAGTGCTGCAACAGTTTCATCTGGTCGTCCACCTGTGTAACGTGAAAAAAACAAACGTTTAGTAAAAATCGAATTCACAACGCAATCGCTGTAGTTTACAAAATATGTAAAACAGCCAAACAATACCATAATTTAAATTTATAATACATCGAGCGGGTACGAAATAACATCATCTTTCGACGACGAAGACGTTATAATTTTATGTCATCAACGGTAACACGCACGTAAAGTACACAAGTTTGGGTGATGATAGTGACGCTATAATATTATATGCGCATAATATGGTTATGCCTATAATATTATGAACTTAGCCACCGCATTTTCGAATTAATTATATTCCAAACTCGGGGTGAATTCTATCCTCCGCGCGAGATACGGGGTTGAATATATATACAGGGAGATGGGTTTATACCAGGGACGCGTGTCTTATTGCGTAACCACGATTTCTACGATGGTGCGGGTCACACCACAGAGTAGGATTTAATTTATAATATCAATTCCCGTCACCCCCGTCCGCCGCCACAAATATTCTCTTCGCGTACCTCTATTACAACAATATCGTTATACACGCGTATAAAAATATATTGTATACATATGCATATTATATTCACGGCACATCGCGCGATCGGAGCGTATAATATTATGATCGGACCTACTTGCAGCATTTACGCGTAACGAATCGTAAGACCTTGAAAAGTGAAAGAAGAGTCTGTGACGACGGTGGTTGCGCCGTATATAGAGGTGTATTACACATACATATACATACATACATACATACATACGTACCTTATATATATATATAAGTACATCTACACGGTGTAATAATAGTAATAATAATGATATAATAATAATAGGTATAATACAGGTAAGGTATATACATGTACTATATATTTTATATAAATCCGTAACGACTGCGTGCACTCGTTTTCGGTCCGACGGTAATTTCGTTTTTATATTCTCGTCCGAGTCAGAGACGTACGCACGACGACAACGACGATTACTTTTACCTATTACTATAAAACCTAATACTATGGTAACTACTACTACTACTACTACTACAACAACAACAAAATAACTAGTATTACTACCTACAACAACAACAACACAACAAAATAACTAGGATTACTACCTACAACAACGACCACAGTAACAAAACAACCACATCTATACGAATTCTACTACTCGGTGCGAGTACGTTTTGGTAAAATTACTATTGTATCCGTTTTACTGTGTGTCAGTAGTTGTAATTGTCGTCGCGGTCGGTCGAAAAACCAAAAAGAAGGAAAACATTTTTTTTTAAAATAACTAAAATACAGTAGCGTTACGCGTGTTATTACGTGGGTCTTAATTTTTTTTACACTCCGTCTCATCTGCGTTTTCCGCTTTCACCGCAGGATAGACCTTGAGGCTCAAGGCCAATGCCGGCGATTTCACTTATGCGCGAGCGTGGAAAATCCGATACGCCGCCGTAAGAAAAACAACGACGTCGTACCACGATGGTAAAAAGCGGAGTATTTCCTCGGCAAGATGGGAACGTACGACGCGTAATACCTATTATCATCGCCGTCATCGTCATCACTTTTTCATTATTTAGGGTTGGCCACCATGTCTATTTATAATAATATTATATACATAGGCGTTGTTATATATTAGACACAATAATATATCGTTAAAACGCGCTCCCGCTGATTTTATTAATCCACTAGAACCTTGTAATCGTAAAAATGGGACACTTGACATGTGGCGTACTGGATACACGCCAAAATATGTACAATAATAATACTAAACAACGACGACGTAACATGGGAGTGAGTTTTATCATCGTTACCTACGCGCGTGATACATAATAATATAGTTTTTTTTATTATTTTTTTAATATCATTGAAATTGCGATATCACATACGGACGCATATTGCATCGAGTGTATCGTCGTCGTCGGCATATTATAAAATATATTTAGCTCTCATATATAGACGTAGGTACCTATTATGTGTTTCGCACTTTATAAAATATATCGAAACGTTCCAAACGCGAAACTAGCACGTGACGTCATTTTAATAACTATTTATTTACTTTTTTATAATGACGTCAAGAAATCTCCCGGTCGCAGTAGTTTGCACTGCACCTATATATTATTGTGTTGTTATATACGTCAAAGTATAATCTCTGAGCATCATCATTATCGACGACAATAATTGCATGCACCGAATGCAGCTGCACCGGGGAAAAAGTGCACGTCTCGACTGTACGTCAGTTTTTGATCGCTTTGATGATAATTACAAGAACTTATCGAACAACCGGTTGAACGATATAATACAGGAATGCACGTGTCAACACCTTTTTACGCTGGATCGTGACGTGATGCACAGAACGAAACATGATTGTGATATTTACAGGCTAATTCTTCTATTAATGAGTCGGTCACGGAAAAGTTTAAACACGATGCCCACGGCCTGCTCTCGAATCGTGGCCATAATATGTGGCTAAATATAGGAAACAAGGTTTGAATTAGATTCGTTATAGCAGCCCCCCGCACTACATACCTCCATCAACCACAGATGGATGTCCTGAGTATTTTATTTAATGCTTATAAATTGTTTCAAGACTTAAATTAAGATTTTACTATTCTAGTCTTTAAAATCAAGAAATAATCGGTTTGATAAACTGTGGCACAACGTTGCACATAATATTATAATATGTAGGTATTTGAGAAATTCAAAAATTTTAATTGTGTAATCAACAAACCGTTTATAAGTGCTATATAATATTATAGCAACAAAACGTCTGTAGATTAGACATACTCGTATACATTTGTTTCAATAACATATAATAACACTACAGGTGTCTTTCTCGTTTCGTTTTGACTGCAGAAACCCGAGGACTAAATAATGGTGCAAAAGACTATAAATCGATTTGATGATTATTCGGCGCACGTCCCTGTGTACATCATGTCAAATGATCAAATATCTTTTATTATTTGTTATTACAATAAAATTTGTGGAAATCAGCCCAATAAGTAGGTACCGGTACATGTTGTGTGCGTTATATTTATAACATATATATTAATATAATAAATATATATTAACATAATATTAACAGGTGTGAACGATTTATTGAGCAAGAATAAGGCACATCGGCCACACTAGATTTTGATAAAACTAAGAAAATAAAATCTTTTTCGATGTGTTCATATATTTATATATTATTTTATAATATTTAAATAAACACCACGGAAAGAACACTGTATATTGTCTGAAAACATGTGAATAGGTATGGTATTAATATAGTACATATTATATACGACTATACGAGTATATACATTTATTGTGTACAGCGAAAATATGACGCCGTCGTGCAGCGATATATACAACAACTAGGAATTGCAATATTATAATTATTATATAATAATATAATAATATGTTGTGTATCAAAGGGTTGGAAAAAGGAACGAATCCCAAGCCCACGTGTCGTCTGATGGGCGCCGCGCCGCCTTCATCGCTTGTACAGCGCGACGCGACACAAGGGCACCATCACACACACGGTAATAACTAATAATAATAATACCAATAATAATAATAATAACATGCGTTTAATGAAATACTAAACAAATCTCGGGCCGATGAACTTGGGCAAAAAATAATGCACTACAATAGTGACAAATGTCGGTGTATGGAACGGAGTCAGTGTCCAGCGTGATGTTGATATTATGTGTTGTTAGTTTTTTTCAACACTTCCGCGTGCAGTGTGTGTTCGTGTGTGATTCCCCTTCCCCCTCCCCGTTTAATATTGTTCACCTATGTTTATTCTGAAGAACATCATTTCAAGGTGACAAAAATTGGCATTCGGTTCACGACACTCAATATTTACACTAAAAACCGCGTGTACACGCGTTTTTTTATTATTATTGCTTCTAAGTATAAATATACACACACAAGACGTGTACTTAACCCGTGATCGGTCGAAGAAAACAATGAACCCGAAGAGTGCGTTATAACTTACCAAGTTTAATATAACATGACGCGTGTGGTGTGTGTAGTGTGTACCACGTATGTGACGATATCAGAGGAAATAAACGATATCGCCGTGAAGACAAACACACGATAATAATACCCAACACATTGGCAAATAATACACATTTAATTGGCCGGGATGGACGGGTTTTCACATCGACATTCGACGCCGAGACAACTCGTCAAATTTTGGGTTTTGTTTTTTTGGCAAACCCGAAAATAGGTCATTGGAACAAGACGGCGGCGGCGACTTTGTTCGCGTTATCGGTATCGCGCTCGAGCGTGTGTGCGCATCGCCTCGCCTTTATTTAGAGTGCGAATTATAGACGATCAAACAATAAAAGAAGCCTTTTGTGGATGGATACAAATACTCACTCTATAAGAATAAGACGGAGAAGAATTTAAGAAAAAAACGGGTTTCACACCAAAAACAATAATAATATCATAAAGAAATTCATCGACCATTATAAGTGTAACTGGCAAATATAATATTATGCACACAGCCGAGTAAAAAACGAAGCCTTTATAATAATAGCATCGTACATAGTAAATGGGACACGACAGTGGACTAGCAGAGCACAGGCGTCTCGGGCGACCTACACACACACACGGACACGCACCCGCGCACGCGCACAAACGCGATGACGTATGTCCCTTCTACCCCGCGCCCGCGTAGGATCGATCCCTGGCCTGACCATGACCTACCGTACACAACCGAATTAACCTAGTTGCAGACACCCCTCCACGAACGTTTAACCCCCGCTGATCTAGCTTACGCGATGGCTTAATGCTCCTAGACCTCCTCCCCTCGACTACCGACCTAACGTCATAGTGTTATTATTATATATTATGTTATAAGCGTGTACAACATCGAATTGTACAGAATATAATATTTTTTTTTTCGTCGCTTTGATGGCTGCCCCGCGTTCCTGATTCTCGGCCGAAAACTCCCCAGAGACTACTATTTCACCCCTTCTGCACACCACGCTAATAGGGGAAGCCGACATTTGACCAAAAAAAATTCGAAAAAGTTTTTCATGTTAAAAAAAAAAAAATAATCATTATACAACTATAATAACACGGTTATATATCATTATGACACGGCGCTATATTATAATGTAGTCGATTAACGTTATTCCACGGTTAAAATATTTAAACATATTACAAAGGTATAGCGACTTTAGGTACTTGCAGTAACACTAAAAACCCATATTTTTTACTAGTAGTTTGTATGATAGCGTCATGCTTTCTAAAAATAAAAAACCTCTTACATAAGATGTATAAAATGTACACGTAGTCTGGATATCTATAAAAATGAAAAACTATATGGTTTTAGAGATGCAGTCACACACTATCGGTTGTTTCAAAAATATTATTGTTAACACGTGTGACATCCAAATAAAAATTACATAAAATTTACTGCGTTATAATATGTATTTATATAAACCATTACGTAAGATGTAAACAAGAAATATCATCCGACCAGTAAATTAATTTCGTTACAAAAACATTATTCCTCCGAGGCTCCTATAACAATATATTACATATCTTATAATATAGTAATACCAGTTTTAAATTTTCAGAAACGAAAGTTTTTTTTCATTTTCAATGTGTGAGACTGTTGACCTTGATTCTAGCACGTTGTTTACAATATGTATTTATATATAATATATATATATTAGAAATTCTCCAAAAAAAAAAAATTGTGTGAATTTTTGTAAAGTAAACAATAATATTATACTCTCGGTATTCTTTCAATTTAAATAAAACATTGTTTATGCACTTTACATTGTGCTTAGAACACGTTTTGGATTTTTAACCGTTTCGCAGAGCGCATAATATATTGTTTTATGTTATACGTACGCGCGTATTATATATAACAAAAAAAAAACCAGAAACCGCGAGCCATGAATATAAATATATTCCGAAATATGTGTCACGGGCGTAATGCAAACTTTTCGCCTCGTCGTTTAACGTGCGCTGAACAACAGTCGAGTAATGTTATAATAGGTACATCAGTATACATGTATCTAATGGGAGTTGCCCATCGTACAATGATATCGGAGCATACGCGAGTACGGCATATCCGTCCGGTCCACATTGTATGTCTGTTGCAAGTATATTATTTGATGATTCGAGCATAACAACAGAAATATCGATTTAAAATCAATATATTCCGAATACATGGAAACAAAATATTTTTTACCGAAAAACCTAACCGACTATAAGTTGAAAGAGCAACGCTATACTATTATTATTATTAAAATCATTAATTTTTCAATTGTCGTAATAAATATTTCGATATTTGCATACATAATACAAAATGTGTGTTATTTTATTCAGCACAAATTGTTATTGATAAATATTAAACAATAAGTAATCAAATGCATACATGATCGACAGAACACAATCGGAATATATTGATTTCTCGTCAACAAATATGAACGATATTTGGAACTTTCGAATCTTCGAGTAATATTATATGCGCATAGTTTCTATCATTCAAAAATATGTCGATTGACTAATTTAGATTTTTAAATTAATCCACGAGCTTAAAAATTACAGGTAAAAAAAATAATAAATTTAATCCATAGTTGTTGTTGTATTCGACAATTAAATATTTAAATATACCAACGAGTAAACACGAAATGTATATCAGTGTTATCAAAACCCTTAGGTTCGAGAAAATATTTAAATATTTATTAGAGCTCGGCTGCCACCTATTATTAGTATCGAAACCTATAAACTCTGTTGGTAAATGTTTCGATAGCAATCGAAAGTATCGGGAAAAAAAATGAAAATTATATTTAAAAACTAGGGAAAGAACACTACGGACTGGCAGGTTTATCGCGCGGGTGGCCTCAACGGTCGAACTTTCGTGCGGGGGCGCTCCTTTCCGGCCATCTATACACGTCACCCGCGCGCGAATACCTCCGCCGCAAAAACGATATGACCCAGAAAAAACACAAACAGCAAAGTGATTATTATTAGTGTTAAATATATACCGACGAACAAATACAAAACGAAATGTTTCACCGAATTTCCAATAACCGTCGGAGTCGGTATCGAGGAAAACGCGGTATACAATATTATGATTAAAAACATATTTTCAAATATTGTATAACTTTAGCACAGTATAGACTAGTTTAAAATCACGTAAAAACCATATTTTATTTCCGATTCGTGCGCGATCGTATTGTACTATAGCATTTCGCAAACTACACAAGTACCATCGCCACACCTAAGCAATAATATATATAATGCATAATAAATAATAATAATATTATTATGAGTACGGTCGCGGGCGACGCCGTGGTCGTTTCGACTCGATTAAACGCATAATAATAATAATAAAGTATTTTATCAACGACATCGGCAGCGGAACGGCAACGCCGACACATAATGAGCATCGTCAAAAGGTGGCGAAGGCGAAGCGGAGAGAACGGACGGCGAGCACACCACCACCGCCGAGGACGTCGCCGCCGCCGTCACCGCCGACCCCCTAAATCGGGCCCCCGGGACGACTGCCGCGCGACTACCACACACAACAATACACGGGGCCGGTGCCGCGACCGTCGATTGTCTTTGTGCCGGGCCAACGGTGCGGCGGCAGAGCGCCATGCGCTATTCGCTGGCTCGCTGAACGCTGCTCGTACTGTATATTTATAATATTATTATACTGTTTTTTCGTATTTTTAAACGATCAACGGCGTCGCCGCTGAGCGCAATTAAAAAACGTCGTCGCCGTTGTTGTCGTACTACGGTCTACGGTATATACTATAGGTAAGCGTGTGCATAACATTACATTATTATTATTATGATGATGCACATCGCGCACAAGTCGCTCGCAATAATTTACGAACCGCTGTTTTCTTTTTCTTCGTTGTTTTAATATTATTATAAAATACTAAATACGAGTGCCGTAACAGTTATTAATATTATTACATAGTAGACAAAAAAATACGCCAATCCCACGGGATTTCGCGTGTCGCGCGTGTTCCCGGGCGAACAACCACGCGATATAATATAATATTATAATATACCTGTTACGATACAACGACAATAATAATAATAATAATATCGTTGTTGCGGCCAACTCGTTTTTCGGCGGCCATAGTATAATAATAATATATCATTTCAATCGTAATTAAATAATAAATACGAAAAAAATCGCACGCACGGCATCGACGGCATTGTTCTACTCACACACACACACACACACACACACACAAATCGGTTTCGAGTAGTTGGGCTTTCTGTGCGCCGCAATTGCGCAAAAACGTGCGAGGCCCGGCCGCCGCGCTACCGTGAACGCGAGTGCGTTGCGTACACAACAACGACGACGAATTGCTGAGTGCTTGCGCGTGTGTACGGCGGCAGCGGCGGTGAACTTGGCCTCATTTTTTTATGTTCGTATACCTACTCTCCACCTCCCCGCCCACCAACCATCATATTTGCACCCAACCCGAACCACTGCGAAACGATCGGTCTACCGTCGTTTTCGTGTAATGGACCGATCACGCGCGCGAGATTGTACATATTATAATATTAATATTATATCATATTTTTCAATACGTCCATCTATATTATATAGGTTTTCGAGTCCGTAAATAACGCACATTGACTACATCGTCCATCGCTCGAATATATTATAATACTTCATTATACTATGAGTGTATGTGAGGTGGGTATACACTATATACGCATTTATCGGCTTACCGCCCATCGAACGGTGGAAGATCGGGTTTTTTTTCGATTTAAATCTGCGAGGCCGTCCGTCCCTAGCTGAAGCTACGCGGCTCTATATAGACAACTGTTTTATCACACCAGTCGTAATAATATTTTAACCCACCTGTCAGTGGGAGAAAGAACGTAACAAACTATCAACCTCTAAGCTCAATGAAAATGTGCCTAACCTTGGACCTTCCCCGTGTTAACACCACAAGAAAGTATGGGCCCTCCAATAATCGAGTCAGAAGACAGAATAGAAGGCATTACTCGCATGAACTTAATGAAGAGAAGAAACCCTCCCCGATTTTCTCATACTACTGTGGTATATCTCTGTCACAGTTAAACATATCTTAACAAAATCCAGAATATATACGACGATAAGGAGAGTAAAGTATTCAGAATCTCCGAAAATCTAGCTGAAAAATACAATTCTTATCGGAAACACCTTATCGACCAATTAATGAAACGTAAACATATAAATCAAAACATAATAAAAAAAACTTTATCTATTGTTACGTATGATATGTTATTTAATCTTATTTGTATTCTCTACCTCTGTATTACTTTATCAATCAATGTTACTATTTTTAACTATATGTAATCTATATATATCTAACTCAAGAATATTTATAATAGTATAATGTTACGTCCAATGATTGTTACCTTCAAATCTTTGAAGAACACTGAATTCCGCGCCCAGTCCACCTGCGAGAATAGATTCTGGTCGAGCACCTTGCACATGAGTTCGAAGAGATCGACCTCGCACTGGTTGTACGTCTGGTTTTGCAACAGGCCGAACAGTGAACTCTGCCACTCCCGGTCGTCCAGTCCCTGCACGAAGTCCCGGATCATGGGCGACATGCCTTTGACGCCGCTGCCGCCACCATTAGCAGTCGCGGCGGTCGACGAGCTACCGCCACCGTCCACCACCATCTGCTGTTGCTGTTGTTGCTGCTGTTGCTGCTGTGGCACGTGGTGTTGCTGCTGTTGTTGCTGGTGCGCGGACAACAGGTAGTTCTTAGGCGACGACGGTGGAGACCACATTTTGTTTACGGACAGCAAGGTCGAGGCCGGTACTACCGACTGCTGTTGCTGTTGCTGTTGTTGCTGTTGTGCCTGCTGGTGATGTTGCTGGTGTTGCGACGGCGGGACTCCACCGTTTGCACCGGTCATGTTGGTCACGCCCGTGCTATTGTTGTTGTTGTTGCTGCTGCTAGTGTTGTTGTTATTGTTGTTGCCGTTGGCCGAAGCCACGATTTGCAGCGTCATCTGTGAGTGTTGGTTGACCACACAAGTGGTGCCACCGGCGCCCGTGGTCAGAGACCCGAGTCCGGCCTGGCCCAGAGCCACGGCGATCGGGCTGGGAGATGAGTCGGGCGAGGATGTCAACGAAGACACCTGTTCAAAAACAAACATATTATAATAATATATCACATTACTAAAGCTATGGGTTTCTGAGTCAGTGACATGGGATACACTTTTAGTTTGAGAGGATGTAAGCGCACTATATTTTTTTTCTATCTCTGTCCCTCGCGGCGCAAATGGACAAATGGACGTTCAGCAGAACCAACTTGAGTTCTTATATAGCTTTAGTATGCGATTTAATTGGCATGTTATAAAACTTAAAGCTAAGGACATAGTCTGCAGTTTTATTACGTTCAATTTTTTTTACGATGATTCAATGTTTGTGCGTCAATGTTATATGAATTTTTAAATTTTAAACGTAAGAATACGGATAATTTTCTCAACTTAAAGTTCGATAATAGATAAATTCACTTTAGTTCTGAAGCTACAATACACACACAAATTTGGTATGAAAATTGTCTATGTCACGCATGGGTCTGCATAGTGAGAAAATAAAATACAAATAGTGCGCCGACATCCTCTTCAGAGCTCAAATCGCCCGCCGTTAATAAAATATCGAAACCCACGAGACATACGGCTTTTGGCTCATGCCGAGCGTATAATGTAGACATAATGATAATGGGGGTGTTGAGTTTTCATTTCGTACCAGTTTAAACAACTACGCTTATTTTTCTGAGCCTACGCGATCGCGTAGGACAAACACCACATCGCCGTCTCCACGAATAACGACGGGCGAACGCAGCGCGTTATAATATATTATGTGAAATTGATGAACGCGAAAAGTTACCCACGCAAATACAATATATAACATTGTTATGCTATTATGATATCGTCCGGTGGGAAAAACAGTTTCGATGCAGGTGTACACCACACGCCGTTATTATTATTGGTACTCGGAGACAATAACATATAATTATTTTTTTATATGAAGCTCACCGTCGGGCGTACAATAGTTTGAAAACAGAAAAGTCGAACGTCGATTATAATAATATTATGTGCGTGCAATGGTCGCCGCAGTGGCGCAATATTGGAAAAGATGTATAGGTAAATCAAATAAAAAACTGATCGAGTCGCCGAGGTTGTTATTGTAGATAGGGGCGGTGTGCAATAAATTATTATTGTATGCGCGCTTCCTATATAATATACAACCGCGTCGTACATTTAAGAATCGTGATTTATGATGTATAATATTATTGTATACTGCACCGAGAGACGGTTATCGACAACTGGCGAATAAATAATCGTCGTTGTTTGTGTTAAGTAATTTTTTTCTCGTACGTTTCCGAACCGTAAACACTATATAAAATAATATGAAAACCGCGAACGACGTCTCACCTGGGGAATCTGAATTTCCTGTTTGATGTGCAAACTGGACACCGAGGACGTGATGGGGGAACCAGGGTACGGGCCTAGCGTGACCGCGTCGCCGGCCAACATGGCGAATTGGTGGTGGTTGTTGGCCCCGGCCGACGTGACTACGCCACCGCGCAACGTCTGCACGGCCATCTGTCGCTGACGCATCATCTGCAGCTTTCTCGCCCTGTCCCGTTTGTACATGGGTCCGAATTTGTTTCGGCCTCCTCGCATCCTGTCCGCTCGGACGGCTGAAAAACAACACAACATACCATTAGTCAACTACGTTAAACTATAATATACGATCTAAATGATAAATGTATTTTAATATATTATTATATAGGTATATGTCTATAATATATAGGTACTATATAACACCGAGAAACACGTCATAATGAAATGACGTGCCGTAGGCCTATATATAGAAAATATAGCTAGGGGTTTCCGGGGGGGGGGGCGTACTGCCATAATCTTGGTTGTGAAATGGAATTTGTATTGAACTGGTTTTAAAAAAATAGCATAACTAATATATTATTATCATATTGCTTTGACTCAAAATTAAATTGCTTATCTATTTTAATAATAGGTACAATAAATATATAATACATTTTATTTAAAAAATAAAAATGAGAACGTAGTGTAACCCCACCCCCTCCCCCTCAACCCATGAGTCTGTAGTATATCATAAAATATTTTAATTCTCAAACTTCCCAACCCATATACCCATTATATGGCTGAAGCTTTTGGCGACTATAATAACGCGTTACGATATTGTATATTGTTGTGATTCTGTCTATGTATAATATAATATATCGTCGCCACGATAATAATTATTAAATAATTTGTTTCACAACGTCGTAAGAGCGCTAAAAACAATGGACCACGATTACGCCACTCTCGACCGGCGGCGGCGGCATGGTGCCAAATGAGAATCAGACGACGGAAATCCTGTCTCTTAGACCGCATGGAGGGGGTATCTCTGGTGGCGGAGATTAACGAACATGTCCGCGAAAAAACAGCGCCCGACCACCTGGAAGTTTGCGTCGTCGAAATTTGATAGAATATAAGAAATATAGGGACCGTATGATATAATATCGATTTCCAACTAATATCACTGCTGAACCCTGAGCTGGTTTGGCGGTGGGGGGGGAAGTCACGATAACGATGGGGGGAACATATTATACGAGTGTAGTTTAGAATTTAAATCAGAAATCGACGAATTTTGAGCTAAAGCGCGATAGTGATAACAATAATATTATGAGCATCGTCCGTCGACGAGGATCTCATGGATATAGCCGCGGTCGAGAAAATGATCGTTTCGATACAATATCGAAAAATATTATAATATACAAATTCGGTGTACTCGGTGGAGGATAAGCGTGTAGACTACATTTATTATAGGTATATATCTATACAAGTATGTGTTTTAGTCAACAATGGTTCTCATCGTACAGGTTTCCCCCTACGTTTGTACGACGGGAGAACAATAATGATAGTGAAAAAAAATTTAAAAAAATAAAAAGTACCTCCTATTATTAAAGTTATTACCAAACCGACATAATATTATATTATTACTATTATTATACGCAAGACGACTACGGAACGCGTTACATACGACGACGACGGTAGAAGAGGGACGCCGCTCGGCGTAACGACGAATCCGACGGCGGCGGTTGTATTGCATAGTCATCCTCTATATTATGCTATATGTATATAATATAGCATAATATTTTATTATTATCATCGTCGTCGTTGTCGTGCGAGTATATAGGTACCATGACTATGACTCTGTGCACACGCGGGTTGTACGAAGAACACCGAATAATATAGTTTTTTACCGTCGTTATATCGTTATTATTACAAATGGTTCAAAAAAAAAAAAAAAAATAGTAAAAAACTCTCCACTGCAGAGTTTATAGATGTATTGGTTGATATATAATGATATATTGTTGACGGTTATTTGACCGTCGCGACAGTGTCTTAACGACGCGAAATCGAAATGGGTCAGTGGTTTCAAATTTAAAATAAAAATAAACTACATAGTACATACATCCCGTCGTACATGCTGCAATCATTATATGCAATAAACAATAATGATATAATAATATATCGCCACACGCTCTCGCTGGACCCTGCACCAGCCATCTACCAGTTACCACCGTTGGACGGACAACGACGACGTTGCGGTGTATTCGGTTTATTCTCGGTTTACCTTTACGTGCGCAAACAGAACTTAATTTTAAAATATTACAATATTTATTATTTACACTGTACGCACAATAATAATTCTGAGGCACGCGTGCGTGTACATAATAATATTGTGTTGTACAAGTCATAAACATTAGACGGAAAGGGGGGGACGATGGGGGGGGACGAAAACGACTTTTGGCCGTCGACGAATATTATTACGCCATGGCGATAAGTGAACGAAAAAAAAAACAAAAATTTTTGCGGGGACGATACATAAAATTCTATCGCTGACGCGCGCACGTCGTTGTACCATTATTATATTTGTATTTATAGACGACAACGATGATGCTGATATTATTTTTGTTATATTGTGTACCTACCAGCTATATATATTATATTATATACATTTTTTATTAAATATAAAATAATATAATGATAATACATATTATAATTACGCGCCGTCCGCACAGATCTCTGTACAAAAAAACAAAATATGCTGGTATGGTTGCCGTAAACATAAACCGGTTATAGCGCAGGTTATGACGCACGGGAGTAACGAAAAAAGAATTAGATACACACGGCGGATAATAATAATACATAATACGCGACCACCGATTGTGATAATAAAACATATGGTCGTTGTCAGTCGATTATAATATTACGATCGTGATAAGTTTCCACTGCGATTTCTGCAGCACGCCAACCGCCATGGTACGCTTCGTATTTGGAAGAAACGTCAAAATATTTGTAATATAATATTGAATATAGAATCTACTATGTATACACGTTAGATATACGTCACTATATGCAGTTGGAAGTATAAATCAAAAATCCAGTCAGCTGATCGAAATAAGACCAACAATATTATGATATAACTATACGTTTTATTCATAGTTTCGGACAAAAATTAAGATCACAAAACCACTAATACAACCCGGGATCGGTAGACGAAAATAATAATAACAATAATAATAACGATTTAATAAAATATAACGTCGGTCGTGACAAAAAGGCGTATTTCCGTTCGGATCTGACACTAATACTATATACACATATCGAATAATAATAATAATAATAATAATGTTATAATACGCATGAAAGTGCGTGTGGTGAATTTGTGAGCATTGCGCCACGGCTCCATTGCGTAAGGATATACGCGCGATTTCAAAACGTAATTTTAGTGGATACATATCGAGATTGGGCGTTAAAACGAAAATAATTACAAGCGCGCATTGCGTAAGTTACGAAATAAAGTCGTCGTCGCCGTCGTCACCACCGGCGCTGTTACCGCTGCGATCCATCAATTGATAGAATCGATTGCGGACTATAGGGAATAATCCCGTTTCTATAATATACCCTAATCCCGGTGGAACGAAGGTATATGTGTATACTATAATAATATAAATAGGATAACGAATCACCGCCAAAGGATTTATGTATACAACACATATTGTTATGTTACCCGGACGCCCATAAGTTCGCCTTTAAATTTTGATTAAAGCTCAGCTTTTCTTTTTCAGATTGCTATCGAAATCCTTCGAGTTATTTAACCCGAGTCTCCGAAATTAAAGTGCTATATCGTAAGTTCGATTCCATTTCCATTCGCTCCAAGCTGCCGTTATCGTTGTTATTATTATTATTATTATTATTATCTCGTCGCCGCGTACTATTATAGTCGCCGTCGTTCTCGTCGTCCGATTATGCCACTGGTCGATATTGTCCCGCCAGTCAACATATTGTCTCGGCGCTCTTTGCGGAATTTCCACGGTTGTACGTTATCGCGAAGCTCGTTAAAAACCGATCGCGGCGAAATGTTTACGAGCGTATTCATGGGACGACAATAGTATAATATAATATATAATATATCTATAAGAGGAGGGTCTTTGGCGGCGACGAGCTTATAAACGATAGTTGTTGAGATGGAATAAGACAATTATTGTTAACACACTGCAAATATCACAATTATTCGATAAAATTCGATATTATCATAATATTTCAATATTATATATACGGTGCTCGGATGTTGGGAACGAGACGGAGGGAGATAAGGAGGTGACCGATTTTTGTAGTTGTATATTATATTATGCAGTCGTATACACAAACACGATCTCGAAGGCGTGTGTCCTTGAGAACAACACCACCGCCGAAGTCGCCACGAACGATGGATACACGCCGCTTACGCAATTAAGCGGCAGCACTGTAGCTACGCGCACGCGCGCGACTCGGCGGCTATGTAATAATATATTATTCCATTAAGCGGGGAGGTGGACTACGATTGTGTGCATATTATGTACTCGCCTAGCGCGCGGTTGTTGCGACGTTGCCACCGCCGCAGCCACCGCCGCCGGCCGGTCACGGTGTTCGGAGACTTGAACGCCACCGCCGCCGCCTTAGCCGTCACGTGCAGTAATGATATGTACGTACAAGGAGAGAATATATTCGGAAAGAAAAAAAAAAACTCGAAATTACAATAACAGTAGCGCGTTATTAGGCTTCAGGAAGACGAGGTGGAGGTGAACGGGACCGAGTGAAAACGCGCGTCAAATCGCCCGACGATTATTTTGTATATGTTATTATTGTACAATGCGACACTATTATTATCATGGGCGCAGGTTTTTGATTCTCAGACGAGAGCTCTGTTGTTGCGTTCGATCTAATGATGCTGCATATTGATTGATCGATTGCCACTCGAAGAGAGAGAGAGAGAGAGAGAAAGATGCGTTTGAGATCCCGACGATGTGACGGGTGGTAGCCAAAGACCGCGTGTGCGCGCCAGTGCGAATACGAATGCGGCGCCGGTATATATTATTATTATGCACACGATTTACGGTCAAGGCCATTCGCCTTGGCCCAGTCGCGGTGGAGAAAAGTGAGTGCGCCACGAGAGTTATGAACATATAATAATAATAATATAATAGCTTGTATATAATAATACGAAAGAAAGTGCGTGCAGAACCGCCGCCGAGTTCCGCTTTTACTTTCTTCGGGTTTGCTGGCTCTTCGCACGTATCCATCGCTGAGGACCGAAGGTCGTGCCTCCGGATTAGAGTAACACCAAGCG